AACTATCAGATGCTAATGTAGTACCATCAGGAGAAAAACAGACTGAATGAACAAAATTTTAATGGCTTTCTAATTTTGGATTTTTCTTATCCTGTTTTAACATACCATAATCTGATAGTCTTATCTCCACTACCAGATGCTAATGAGGTACCATCAGGAGAGAAACAAGCGAACATGACAGAATGAGAATGATCATCTAATATGGTTACTTACTATCCTGTCATAGCATCCCATAAACGGCTAGTCTTATCTTTACTACCAGTTGCAAAGGTAGTACCATGAGGAGAAAAACAAACTGTATTAACATCAACATTATCATTATGACTAATTAATTTTGAAATTTGTTTCCCTATTTTAAGATTCCATATATAACCATATTAGCTACTACAAGAGGTTAAAATACTGATTTTACTACTCCGTGCCTATGAAAACATAATTTATTTTTCCTATTTCTAATATCCCACAAACGAATCCAATTATCACCACTGCTAGAAGCTAATAACTTACAATCTGCAGGAAAGCAAAGTGAAATGACCTATTTACTATGACCATTTAAATTTATTCCCTCTTTTATACCTAAATTTCTCCAGTTGCAATTAAATAATATGGTTTTGTTCATATTCATTCCCCTAACAGTGACATTGTCAAATTCAGATCCACTTAAATCACATCTCGCTAAATAAGCTCCTAACAGAGAAGTATTTTTAATTTTAATATTTTCAAAGATTATTCCTTCAAATCAGCCTTCATCTATACTAATAAATGAAGAGGATTTGATCCACATTTTATGTATCTCTCATCTAAGGCTATAGGATGAACTAATAATTTTCTTATCCCCTGATATTTTTATGATCAGATCTTATCTTGCCCTTTTTATAAGTAAGAAAATCAAATGTTTTAAGATTGAGTATTGATGTAGTGACAACTCACAAAACGTGTGCCTAGCTTGATTCTGTATGAATATAAGATACAAACGCAAAGCAAGTTATGAAAAATACAACCACGCAATAACCAAGATTTCTAAGTTAATACATCAATACTAAAGTTCCACTTCATTAATATTTCAACTTCTATAACTTAAATTTATTACTTTGTAGATTTTTCATATTATATATTTTAATCAAAATTTTAGGCTGACATCCTTTCAAAATAATTCTTTCTAGAAAATTAGTGATTTGCTTAAATTACAAGTTTAATGAAAGCCTTTACTTATATGCCCTCTAAAATTGAACTATCAATATTTGCAATAATGTAATCGATTATTTTTATGAAATCATTTTTTTATGCTTTTTCACTTTTTTCAATTATTTTTGGCTAAAAATTCTATTTTTTCTATTAAAATTATTTATATTTTTATTTTTTTATATAATTTATACCTAATATATTTAAGAAAGGTATATTACTGTCTCTCTAAGACTACAGTAATAAGTTTGGAGTTGTTAGAAAAATCCACTTTTGGCAGATTCTAGTTATAATAATAATTGGGGAGATTTTAAGACTTTTAGTAATTTAAATAAGTCTTCCATTTGTTTTAATATCTATCTGATCGAATTAACTGTAATAGGATGAAAAATGATAATTAGGTGCTGTAATAATAT